GTACGGGGCTGAGCATCTTCTATGTATGGCTCAGACCCCACCACCTTACGATTGTATGTGTGTGGAGTGATGCTATGTGAGTCAGTCTATGTGAGTCAGTCCGTTCATCAGACTTTCGTTGCATATATGCTTATCCTACATTGGTTGATCCTTGGTTCTGCCCATACTCATTGGAGTATGTAACAGTTTTGGTATCGGAGCAGACCATATGATGGATCTGCTCACAAAGGTAAGTCTGGTTAGGAATTAGATTGCGTTCTCAATCTTCCAAATCAGCGCTGTACTACTATTAAGTTCAAAGTTGCAAATTTTTTTTTCTTTTTCGGTATTCTATTTCGTTCGGCATTTCCGTTCAATTCGGTATTCGGACTTATAATTCGGATTTCTGTTTTCTTCCGGTATGCTGTCTATTTGAGTTCCGATTGAGTGATACTAATCCGATAATTGATTAAGTTTCGGATTTCTGATTTTACACGAATTAGGGTTGAATCAGTATCATGTTGAAATTCGGCGTTTCTGATTTCCATTCAGCATTCCGTTTTTCGGCATTTTGTTGTAAATCCTATATTTCATTTTCTTTTGGATTTCCGTTGTCTTTCAGTATTGGAAATTAGGGTTATGAAAATCTTTGGGTTTTAGATCAACTTGGGGAAATTCGAACGTTTTGGAACCGTAAATCCGGAAATTTCGCGGAAACGCGGAAAATTAGGGTTGGGACCAAAAATTTCGCGAATTTTTTTTTCGTTCCCCTTGTTTGAGAAATTCCGAAAACAGGTTTAGGCCTTTAAAAATCGGATTTTGACGGTGGAAATTCCCAAAAATTCACGTTTTTGAAAATTCGAGAGTTTTTTCTTCTGAAATTTTCCGAAATTTTTTTAGCACACTAAGCCGTATCTGACCCTCAAACTGCAACTTTCGGGTAGTTCACTCATTAACGGTGAACTCCTGGACTCAAAGTGATCTCAAAGAGACCTAATCATAATACCTTTCAAATTCGTTTAGTATCATGATTGCAATTATTGTTTATTGATTATCTTTATTGCAAATAATGATTATTGGTTATCTTTATTACAAACATTGTTTTATTGATCATCATTAGGAGTATTTCGTTATTTATCATTAATTAATTTTATTGATTAAATCGTTATTATTTCCTTATTACGAATTTTTGAATGGTTTACGGGAAATTTATTTCTCTGTTTGATTAGGTGTCTACAGTCCATCAGCGGGACAGGGGACTGTATGCGTATTGTTTGATTGCTCTACCCCTGTTCCCACTCTCCCTCCCCTCCCCGTATTCTGTGACCACCAGGACCTCTCAAGTACCGCATCAGTACACACTGATGTCGATGGAACAGGATACCAGGGCACTGCCACGACGCAGTGCCAGGCTCGCAGTTCGTGCTCGACCTACGGTACCTCCACGAACCAAGGCTCAGCAACAGAGACTCAGCAGGCGGATGACTCTAGCGGCATCGAGTACAACATTGACGGTACCGGACACCACCGGAGTTCTTCCCGCATGCCCGGTCCGAAGGGCCAGTGAGCCGTTGGCTGACTATTTTGGGCGGCAACAGGTATTTACAGATGCCATAGCTGCCGCCAAGGCTCAGCAGGAGGCAGCAGAGGCAGAACGTCAGCGGCTGGCCAATGAGGCGGCAGCCCAAGCTCAGCAGACTACTGAGGCTGACGCAGCGGCACGAGACCAACGGAATGCCGCTTGTACGGAGTCCCTGATTCATAGTGAAAGTCAGTGGACAACGTTCCTCCAAGGCATGATCTTTGTGCCTTCGGACGCGCAGGCAGATCCGACACCGGCGGAGGCAGAGAGGACTCACCTGGCTAACTTGATGCTGGGCATGATGAGAGGCATCATGTGGAATAACACACTGCTGCAGGCACATCTGCGCACGGAACGACAGCAGCGACAAAAGTACCAGCAAGACATTGTTGTTTTAACAACTGCCATCCGCGCCGAAGCAACGCAGCAGTAGTAACAGCATCAGCTGTTGAACTCCGCTCTCGCACGCATCAACAGCATTGAGGCTAATGCCTCAGCAGCGCCAGGCTGCACGACAGACGCGACGAAGCAACTCAATGAGCGCATCGATCACGTCGTCACCATCATCGGCGACATAGGTGTTTTCAATGGGCCGGACATGATCAGTAGCACGGTGGCCGCCATCAAGACGGACATCACCAAGCTGCAGACGAGACCGGACGCCGCTACAAAGACTTACAAGATGCCGCACTTCGACATC